TAAATTGTAAAATATATTTCTAAAATACTAGCTTCACTTCTACTTTATAAAAAATTTAATTGATCCACATAATCTACAAAAATCCACAAAAATTTCTTCAAATTTTAAACTATAAAATCCTTACGATTTCGAGATTAATTCATCGCTCTGCTAATTAAAACACGATTATACGTACATTGAAGATTTCGCGCTTTACTGCGTACTCGGTAGATCCTTCACGCGTTACTAGAACATGGTCAGAAGATAGAGATCGGTGATTTTGTGGTCGTTGGATAAAGTTGTGGTGGAAGTGGATGATGGTGGAACGTTGAAAGAATATTTTGAAGGGATAACCAGTTATACCTGGAAGCTTGGAATCGTATCGCCTGTAAAATCCCATGGAAACCTCAAATAACGCGGCAGATACGAATCTACGTAACTGTTTCTGCATTTTATCAGTGTGCCTGTGAGCCGATAGGATTATGGGGATAGTTCTGTTTGCATGTATTTTAAAAAGTTTTATGACTTTATTTTCGAACCGTTCGAACGTTTGGCACGAAAATTATTTCACGTGTGTACACCGCGTTATATATAATATATATATTTTTTATAATATCGCCGGCTATTACAAAGAATTGCAATTTTACAGATAGAAGTGATTCATTCACTATTTTTATGTATTTTCACTACCGAGGTAGTAATTTTTGGTAGATATATTACAGATGTAGAACAGTATATTTTTGAACAGAAAATTTAAATGATTTTTTTATAAAATACATAAATAAAAGCTTGTGTATTCTATAGTTGTATTTTTTTATAGTTTTTCTATTTTTCTTCACTTTAGTATCATTGATGAAAATTCTGTGCTTTTAATCCTTCGTAGTTCTAGTGTTAACACATACTACTAAGAACTAAAGAACATCTTATATTACAGAAAAATTTCATTCAATTTCTAATTCACCTCGTTGAACGTTCAAGTCACAAAATACATTTCACATCGAAGAAAAAGTTTAAGCAATTAAACTTTATATTTTATATTCTTTTTTTATATGTGTATGTGTATTTTATACATTTCAATTTCATAGTTTCACTTTTATTTATCATTTAATTCAACTTTCGTGAACGGAAAATCACATGATTAAAAGAAACAACGGATTTTAACAACGAGTCGTATCAACCCGTTATATTAGACGATATCGCGTCTATTATACTAGTCGGACGAAAATTACCCTGACTTTGCCCGCAAGTCTGAGCAACCTTCGTTTGCCGATCGATAAGTAGACGGTAATCAAATTCATCGATCGTGGTAACAATAATTCGCGGAAGAAGGCAGCTCGCTGTGTCGTTGAAGGAAACGAGGAATCGATATATCGGCTTTGTTTAATGAATCCTTCTAGAAATACGTAGTCATCCAGCGTTCGTCACGCCATCAAATTCATTCGACGCGTTCCCTCCCCTTCTCCAGTGGTTTTCAAACGCTTTTTTCCTAACAGCGTGTTTTAATTTTCACAGGGATCCCCTTAATTGCACACGTACGTATTTATTACGTAACAAACACGTGGCGTGATCCAATAAATTTTATTTCTCGTCTCAATCTTTAAGGATTTAGAACTTAATTTAGAAGTCAGTAACATCGACGACTATTAATTATTAACATTAAGCTTTAGTAGTTAGAATTCCAACTGTTTAGTTCAATGAAGAATTCTGAAATTAGAAACTACTAGCAGATCATTTGGTATGCTTGTATGTGTGTAGTAATAATCAAATAAAATCACATGTAATTTTTAAGTTACACGATATATATGTATGTATATACGCGCTTTCAAATTTTACACGAAAATATTCCTCAAAAAAAAAAAAAGAAAAGAAAAGAAAAGAAAAAAAAAAGAGAACGAAATGTGATATTTCGATCAAAATCACGAATGAACCCACTTGATAACCGCTAACGTCGTCCAAACGCCCAGTCATCGAGACCGAGAGATCGTCCTGGCTAAAAATCGAATGTCGTTTCCAGCTTGTTTCTCGCACGAGATTTCTTTCTCGCTCTCTCTCTCTCTCTCTCTCTCTCTCTCGAGAGAGAGAGAGAGAGAGAGAGAGAGTGGTCAGACAATTAACTTATTCCGCATTCTGTCCCCCGACTTTGCGAGAAGTCCAGAGATATCGAGGGTTTATTAACGCGAATCGGTGGAACAGCCGCGCACCATCGAGAATTCGCATGTTCCCCGTGGCAGTTAAGATGCTATCGCGTAATGAAAGGCCACGGGTCCGAGGAAAGAGCGAAGGTTTATATTGAGATCTAGCCACGGTCGAGGAACCAGCCGCGCGACGTCCTTCGATTCCTAGCTTCGTCGAAAAATGCCTGATAAATTAACTACAAATAGGCAATACCGGGGCAGGTGATGTCAGATTGGCAGATGTTTTTGGTTACACAACAGTTCCGTCCCTAATCTAACCGGCAGCTATTACATTCGCGTTCGTTTCATTTTTTTTTCTTTTTTTTTTTTTTTTCTTACTTATGCACGCCTACGACTAACGGTTATACTTTCAACTTCCCGTTTTTTTTTTCTTTTTTTTTAGTAGATTCTTAGTGGCTATCGAACGAAACTATAGTATAGTGGCTATGTCGAACGAGTTGTATGAAATGAAAAGCAGAGGGAAGCCGGTTGTATTTTTCTTTACTCGTACGCGTCTTTTTTGTGAAAAAATGAACGGTGTTATGTGAAGAACGAGTAAATTATAGTTTGTACAATTGGAGTTCACCGTCCGGACAAGTTGATTCAATTCACATTAATCGTGATTTTGCTGAAACAAATGGAGTCATCCACCCAGTGTCAGTAAGAGGCAGTGAAATTAATTTGGGATCTAAACGGCACAAAAAAGATCGTGAATCGATCCTGTAAATTTGTACATCTATATTGATATTAATATAAAAAAGGAACTGATCACTCTGAAGGACACGTTATGAATAAGTTGGTCACTGAAATGTAATATCTTTACGGTACCAAACATTCAATTTCATCTCACACAATTTAGACTTTTACCAAAACAGGAATGTAAACACGTACGGAAGAACAGCAACCGCGTTAAACATCCGAGACATTTGCAATCCTGGTAACCGTTACCACGTTACCCGCTCGGAATGCAACTTTTTAACAGCGAGATCCAACTCGCTGATCAAGCGGGCATTAACGTACTATCTGCTTGTTACACGTTGTACAAACGTGCCATAACGTAGTCACGCAACGTGGCCTGTGATATCTGTATCAATCGTCTGAGAAACACGTCAACCTTCGTGTAGAAATCTCTATCTCTTTCCAATTCCAACCGTATGATCGTATGTTTGTATGTAAAAAAAAAAAAAAAAAAAAAAAAAGAAGAGGCGATATCTTATCATATCTATAATATGCTTGAATTAGTGGACAGAACGTGCAGCAAGGGAATTAAAAAAAAGAAAAAAAAGAAAAAAAAAAGAAAAAAACCGAAAAAAGAAGCTTTTTTACTCGTGAACATTAAAAGAAAAAAAAAGAAAAAAAAAGAAATGGATACAAACCAAACGTAGAGCTTTACCGAGAACGCGACAACGTGTAATGCAAAACTGTCAAGTGAACAAACGAAGAAAAAAAAAATCTACTACTGTAAGACGATTTCTAAATAAAAAATATTTTGCAAGTGCATGACTCATATTAGTAGGCTCTTGGAACAGTGACTACGTAATTAATCATACAGCAAAGATATAAACTCTGTACTAGTGGATAACACTCGATAAGGGAGAACAAAAAAAAAAAAAAAAATAACAAAAATATACAAAACTACGACATTATGTAACACGTTCAGTTTGTAATCCTGGTTACCCGCGGCTATAAGATCCTTCGCGAGATTCGTTCGATCACTCTGTCCTTGCAGTTGCTTATCGATTTCTCCCCGACTGATTTTCAATTAATTTTCGCTCGTAGCTAAGACGATACGACAAAATTTGAGAAGAAATATCCGGTTGGGCGAAAAAATTTTACGTACCCTCCTTTCGAAATGTTGCGTGAAAATTTGTTGTCACGTGCTTGCGTTACGTGAGAAAATTGTGCGAAAAAGTTTCGCGAAGGTCTTATCGGTTGCGAGCTGTTAACACGCTTACGATATAAAATACTGCATATCCTATACAAACGTAGGACTTTTATAATTAGTAACCGATTTAAGAAAAAAAAAAAAAAAAAAAAAACAATTCCAAACGAGCGAAAAGAATGGGAAACGAGAGGGAAGACGGATTTCCTCTTATACGATCGCGTCGATGAAATAATTTCAGAGAAGATCGGTGAATTCTCGTAGGAAATTTCGCTAGGGACTTGAAGGGGAATCGTAAAACACGGGGTGAACGTGTCGAAAAAAAAAAAAACCAGCTGAATGCGAGGAATGATGGACGAGATATTATTAATTTTGATCTAATTTCTACCTTGACTTTCTTCGCAACAACAACATTTCGTTTGCCACTTATCAATTTGACTGTTTTGTTGAACGTTTCGTTGAGGAAATATATTTGAAAGAAACAGAAAAGGAAAAAAAAGGGGGAGAGGGGAATTCTACTCGAAAAATTACACGTGAAACGCGAGGAAGCGCGTAGCTTGTTGACAATTAGCCTTGCAAATCGTCGAGCGTCGAGAGCTAAAAGAGAAAATTTTAAAGTGGAGGAGAGAGACGCGAAGGGAGCCAAGGTGAGGCTTGTTAATTTCTCACACTCTTGCCATGCCCATTTTGTACATAGGCATGCTCAATCTTAGGATCGAACACGCATCGTGAATCACATATATATTATATATATACACATATACAATACAAATAGTATTAACTACGAAAACGAACAAATTAATATCCAACTTTGTACCTATATACTTACAAATTAACTTAAAACGAAAAACGAAGAAGAAGGGTCGAAAGGGAGACAAGAGAGGGACGAAAATAGAAGAAATACTTTCGAACAAAATATAATCGAGTCGAATAAAAAAAAAAAAGAAAAAGAAAAAGAAAAGAAAAAAGGAGAGAGAGAGAGAGAGAGAGAGAGAGAAAGAAAGAAAGAAAACGAGATAGAAGAGGACAGATGCAGTAGCGAGGAACGATAGAACGAGTAAACGTAGTACGATTTACACGGAATGAAGAAAAAAGCCAGAGAGCCAAGGGGTACCACTTTTGTCAAATTTAGAGAGCCAATTTAGGTTTACGATTATGATATAGGGTGTGCGAGGAGGAACGAGTGCGAGAGAGCGGAAAGAAAGTGAGAAAGACAGAGAAAGAGCGAGAGAGCGAGAAGGGTAGACAGGGAGGAGGGGAGGGGAAGCAGCGAGAAAACCAAAAAGGAACGACGAAACTGGAGTGGGTACACCGTCAACGATTTCTTTACAATGAAATTCATCACCTAATTAAAAGTTTCGTAGAGACGAATTCCAGCGTAGCATAGAAGCGTTCCTGTAACAACGCGTATTATCGCGGTCGATCACGTGCCTCGAATCCGTCGTCAGTTTTATTCACACTGAATCTCGACAAATTAAGGTCGCGCACAAAAACGAACGTTACAATATTACAATCAACCCACCGCACTGAAAGGGAAGGAACCACCGTTTCCGTCGGATCTCAGGAACAATCAAACGGACGTTTCCAATTCGTCAGATCACGCGATTTCCGGATACACAGAAGACCATCGATCCCCCGTAGTTAACATTGTATCGTGCCGTGGTCGCTTGCCGGCGTAATCGGCGCACGTTATCGATCGCGCGATCACGCGACACGGACGACCGATTCTCGATATATCGACGAGGGAGTAATTTTCGCAACGTTCGAAGAGCGCGCGCGTGTCCTACCACTCGCAACGGTTTCTAATTTATCTGTGCGAGACAATTACGTCCGGATTTATTTCGAAAGGGAACACGGAGGAGTACGGGCGAACGAGAGAGAGAGAGAGAGAGAGAGAGAGAGAGAGAGGGAGAGAGTGTGAGAGAGAACAAAGAGGTGCGTCTTTTCGTTAAAAAAAGAAGAAAAAAATAAATAAAAGATGAGAGAGAAAGAGAGAGGGAGAGAGTGTGTGCGAGTGAACGAGAGAGAGAGAGAGAGAGAGAGATTGAACGAGAAAAAAAAAAGTAATGAAGAGACAAGGACAAAGGTGAAAAGAATTTAAACAAATACGATTAGACGACGTTCCGTGGGAGAAAAAAGAACTCGGCCGGGAACTCCTCCGACGATTTCTTTTTCTTTCGTCCCCCGGTGAAATGTTTGGGATCGAGCACGCGAAATTCCATGGTGCTGATCCCTCACGTGAAACCGTTTTTAACCGTAGTTCTGTATATATCCACTGGTTCGGCCAGCCGGCAAACGAAAAGAAGATGAAACAAAAAGAAAAAAAAAAAAAGTGAGAGAAAAAGAGGGAGAGAAAAAAAAGAAAATTTTTCGAAATGCAGCACTGCTACGATTCGAGGAGTTCATGGCGGGATCTACGCGGAATGAATTAATATAAAGCGTTAGTGACTGTATCCAGTATAATATATCTGATAAAAGATACCCCTGATGCCAGACATGGCGTGTGACAATAAAGTGATTCAATGATCTCGTCGCATTTCAATCGCAGCCACCTTTCACGATACACACAGGCACACCCACACACACTCTATATATATATACATATATATACACATACATACATACATACATACACACACACAAACACACACACATACACACACGAGACACGTGCATATAGACATGTATATTTTAAACGCAAAACGAGAACGTTTTTTTTGTAAAGTACGAGACGACACCGCCGGAATTCAACGATCACGATGTGTAAAAGAAAGTATCTCATCGTTTTTCCGATTACTCGTTACTCCGCTGTTAATTGATAATGTCAGTAATATTTTTAACAAAATAAAGCTACCTTATTCAAAGCTGAGAGGACGACTCCTTTAAGAACCCCCTTCAACAAAATGGAGTTACTTTGTTCGATTAAATAATTAATCTTTACCTGATATAATTTCTCGAGCATTTCTCGAACTGACGTTAATATTCAAAGTTTAACTTATACGTTGTGCTTCTATTCGTCACATCTCGATATCACAGATCGATCGAGAAATATCGATTACGTCCGAGAATCGAAGTGAGAGACTACGTGTTTCGCCGCTCAGTGGTGCTGTAATCCTTGACTCGAACTACTGGCTACTACTTACAGTCGATAACGTCGCACGTGACACGAGAATGGTAAGGAAATTACGCGACTCTCAAACACAAGTGAGACGCAAGTTATTTGTACATCAAGCTCTATTCTGTTTTTAATCAACAGTTGAAGCTCAACGACGATAAAATTGACAGTCCGGTGTAATAAAATAAATATTCGAAACGAATTAAGCAACTTTTTCACTGAAAATTATTCCACGTTCGCCGAAACTATTTCTAAAGCTTCTTTCGCTGCTTGTTTTGCATAATGATCGAAGAATTGAACGTTCCCGCAAGAATTATTCGCCCTCGTAGTGAGCTTGTATTTTTATTCACTTATCATAATCACGATCACAATGGTGGGAAGCACTTAAGCGAGTACGTTTAATCATGGAAAATTTTGACAGTTTGTCGGGAATATATAGGGTGTTTCGTAACTTGGAACCCACTTCGGGAGCTGACTGTACGCCTAAAAATAATGAAAAATATAAATATATATCCTATCTGTCTTCGTTTATGAGATATAATGAATTTTCTGTTTTAATTACTTTTACAAAAGATGCTCGAAATGACCAGCTTGCGTTTGAAGACAAGCCTGCACGCGTCTCGTTATTCATCTGGTTACTCTCTCTATCATTCCTGATGCTTCTCGAATTTGTCGGAAGCCTTGCTCTATTCTATTTCGTAGTACTTCAGCATTTTCAATCGATNGTTGCGTATACAATAGATTTTAAATGTCGCCACAAATGAAAATCTAATGGATTCAAATCCGGAGAACGAGCAGGCCATGCATTGGGACCTTCACGATCAATCCATTTATTTGCAAAGTGTTGATTTAAAAATTGCCTAGCCACTCGGCTAAAATGCGGCAAAGCTCCATCATGGATAAACCGCATACCAAGTCTAATATCGACTGGAACTTCCTCTAATATTTCGTGTAAACGCGTGCTCAAAAAATCAACGTACTTTGTGCTTGTTAGTTTCCCATCAAGAAAAAAAGGTCCAATTAAAAATTTATCAATTATTCCTCCCCATACGTTTAAACTAAACTGGTGTTGATGTCTTGAATGCACAATAACATGTGGGGGTTTTCTTCATTCCAATTATGATTATTATGAAAATTGAATATACCATCCCTGGTAAAACTAGCTTATTAGAGTTTGCTCTGTTTATAAAGTTCATTATATCTTATAAACAAAGACAGGTAGGACATATGATTTATATGACTTTTTTTTCATTATTTTTGGGCTCCAGAAGTGGGTCCCACAAGTTACGAAACACCCTGTACAATATAGTATATCGTGTAAGCAATAAGCATCCGAGTACACTGTTTAATTAAAGAAAATTTGAACAATCTATTGGAAATGCAATATACAACAGCGTAATATTATTGCTGTTTAATCTAGCCGTTATGCAGTTGGGGAAGTTTACAGCGACGCTCGTGAACTTCCGAATGTTTCAGAGGGAGGCAATATATCTTCCGTCTCTGTCCAGACGCGCGGAAGTTCCTCGTTTGCGATTGTGTAGAGACGAGTCGAAGTTGCTGGCAAAGTCTAGTGACTTCGGTAACTCGACGTCCGGGGGCTGTCTTAATAGCGCGCGCGCGCCCGCGACATCACCGAAACTCTGTACATATTTGCTTTGAGATGTCAAAGGGCAACAGAGAGAGAGAGAGAGAAAGAGAGAGACTAAGGATGACTGGGCAGCTCGCTTTCGTTTATCTGATGAAAAGAAATCTCTGACATCGATATCTGATATAATCGGGCTCTCTTTAAATTTCCTCGAAACTTCCTCGAACGACGGGTAATGAAAATTTTCACTCGGGATAATTGTTTGGATTACTGCAAATCCGGGCGATCAAGCAGTTTGCGCCCTGGAAGGAAATTTATTCGAGCAAGATATGATCGTCATTTCCCCGTTTCTGCAACTTTTAACCACTTGGTTTATTCCAGTTCCATTTTCTCCTCCCGCTGAAAGAAACTCGCGGAACTCTACGTTTTCCCTACGTTTGTTCAACAGCACGGTAATTAAGCTGAAATTTTTATTCTGAAAATTACCAATACCGTGGATAACGCTTCAAAAACTTGGACTTTGACGGGTCTTTCTTGACGAATGGCCGAAGGGGAGCATCGATCAACGGAATCGAGACGATACTACGTAGCGAATAACTATGATTTAATTTTAGAAACTGCTGGGAGAAGCTGGGGTTACACACAGAATATGAAATTACCGTGAGAACGGATTAAACCGGGGATTCCGTGGGCCATGATGCATCAGCCTCTACATCGCGCCAACGTAATTCCCCCCGCTAAAATAAATTAGACCGAAAGTTCCCGCGGCCTTCTGCCAGGAAAAGAAAAAAGGAACGCGAATTATTCTCACGAATAAAATATGAATCACATCTGGAGCTCCTTTACCAAGTACAAACACGCGCCGTAGAAATTAACATAACACGGTAAATCTTTGACAGACCCTCGTTACGCGATAATCGTTTTCTTCGCTCACGCGACAGAAAGAGAGATGAAAGATATATCTGAATTAGTTGCGAACGTTTCACTGGATAACGACTGTTGAAACTTGCGAATTCATTCGATTCACGCGCAACATTTGCACTTCGTTGCCCTTTTTCTCGTTCATCTCTCAACTGCGCTGGCTGCGCGCACCCTTAAAATGATTTTCATCGTGGACATCGCGCGAGCAAATTGTCTCGTTATCGCGCATTCCTACGCTCGACGAGATTTGTCAGAGGATACATGTCGCATGTCGCTGTTCGACGAGTGGCAAAGAAATACTCTTCGACAATTCGACGAAAACGCAAAGGTTTTCTCGATTAATAGCACGAGTGAAAACAGGCTTGTACATAGTATATTTCACTACAAGAGGATTATAACGAGGGGCCATTATATCGGCGAAAATTCAATTACGGATCGACCTGAATCGATGTACGTGCATTCGCCCGCCTTGTAACCAGCTTACATTGTCCCAGATTTTTCGACGTCTATACCGTAATCCGCCCTCCTTTTTTCCCCGAATTTCTCTCGTACCCTCGATTGTTCACATTGTCACGTTTTTTCGGCGACTCTTTTGTACGCTCGCGCGAGCAGAATTCTTTAGAACTTTCAGAGATTTTTCTGCCTAAGCTTCATCCTCGCCGCTATTATCCCGAGAACGATTTTCACGTGAATCGACGCTCGCTTTCGTTTCCAAGTTAATCTCCGCTGGAAAATCTTCGTATCGGAGATCGATCGACGAAATAGAAAATCGAAAATACGAAAGGCTGTCAGCAACACGCGCGAAATATCAAATAAATCTCGCGAAAAAGGCGAGAAGAATTTTCGAAACGAAAATTCGCAGCAAGGTAGTATTCAACCGAGGTCTCTGTGTACGTTGACTAAGATCACTCGAATGCAGAGGCTGTCAGAGTAGCATACACCAGTATCGGGCAACACGTGCGTGAAAGCTCTAAGTTTTCTAAGAACTCTGTCCGACGGTCCCATTAAAACATTTGTCGCGTTCGCCGAGCCGTGAATACAATTTGCGTCGCGAACTTTCGCCGAATTTATTAATACGAGCGCGAAAGTGGAGCACGGAAGTTGCTCGGATTTGGCGAGCCATGCTGCCGCGAAAAGAGACCGATTGAATTACGACCGAACCTGCAGAGATTTCAACGAAATTATTCGCGATACAGTTGCGATACCGCGAACGTGGTTTTACACTTCGCGAAATCTTTCGGCCAGATTTTATCCGTAGTAACGAAGCTCTTACGATTTTACTGATTGAAATCATCTCGTCATCGAGCAACTTCACTTCGAATGCGAACACGTAACTATTATTATTGTAAATAATAATTCCGATTCGGACTAATATATTGTGTTTCTTAAAATGCATTGTTGCACGTTTTTTTTTTCACGACTTACGTATCTTTGTAAGGTAAAAATCAGACGGTCAGTAAGAACGAATTTGTCATAATGTTTTAATTGTTTATTATTTAATAAACATTAGACATTAATTTTATTAGTAAATTAATTTATTTATTAACTATTTATTAATTTATTATTTTATTAACTTGTTACCTTGTTAACTTGTTCGTTTGTTAGTTGGTTGGTTTGTTGGTTTGTTGATTTGTTGATTTGTTGATTTGTTGATTTGTTGATTTGTTGATTTGTTGATTTGTTGATTTTTTGATTTGTTGATTTTTTGATTTGTTAATTTGTTGATTTGTTAATTTGTTGATTTTTTGATTTGTTGGTTTGTTGATTGGCTGGTTGGTTGATTAGTTGGTTGGTTAGTTTGTTGGTTCGTTGATTGGTTGGTTGGTTGATTTGTTGATTTGTTAGTTTCTTGGTTTCTTGGTTGGTTGATTTGTTGGTTTGTTGATTTTTTGGTTTATTGATTTGTTGATTTATTGATTTTTTGATTTGTTGGTTTGTTGGATGGTTGATTAGTTGATTTGTTGATTTATTGATTTATTGATTTTTTGATTTGTTGGTTTGTTGGATGGTTGATTAGTTGGTTTGTTGGTTTGTTGATTTTTTGATTTGTTGATTTGTTGATTTGTTAATTTGTTAATAAACGTTAATTATTTGTTACATTGCTATGTTATTTAATTGCTATATTTTGTGTCGATTATTATTTTAACCGTGTGTTTCTTAAGGTTTGTATCTCCGATTATAAAATATTCTTCCTAAAATATTTGGAAAATCAGAGAATCATCAAGAACAAATTTATCACGTCT